GTTAGTCACAACTGGAAGAGCCTTAAGCACCACACTTCCCTGAATAGCTCTCTCTCATGCTGCTTCTTCGTACGTTCCTCTCCCTCCACCCTCCACCAATGTATCACAGCTCACCAAGAATGAATGCCATGATGTTCTGTCTCACTGAGGCTTTGCTGTTCCCCTGCATGAAATTCCTTTCCCTCTCTTACTGAAAACCTTTTCAAGAATATCTCCTCTGTAACACTTTCAATCATCACCCCACATTTACCTGCTTTGATTTGGAAGGTCCTCCACCATACCAATAGGGCCTGTCACGCCACAATCACGGCACATATCACGCTGCACTGTAGTCCCTGGTTTATTTGCCCGTCTCCCACGAGACAGCAGGCTCCTCGATAGAAGAGGCAACTTCCCGTTTGACCTTATTTCTCCAGTTCCTTGTTACAGTGTCTGGCACATAGGAGACCCATTAAGTATGAGGAAACAGTTTCTGCATCATGAGAACATGCTCAGGCTTACCTGCTGGAAGGATGTGAGAGACGAAGGAGAAGAGCCAAGGCCTTTCTACACCTGATGACAGACAGCTGGTCCGCAAACAAACGGGAGTCCAGCCAAAACTGGTGGAGCCGCCTCCCTGACCCGCAGCTGCCTGTGGAAAGGAGCAAGCCCAGCTAAGTCAGAAGAGCCGCCCAGCTGACGCAGGGACTCCGAAGAGATTACAAATGGTTAGTGTTTTAATCCACCGGCCTTTGGGGTAGTTTGTCAGGCAGCATTTTTTGTGGGAATAAATAATTGGTACAATATCTGTGGATTAGATTTCACCTGGGGATAGCCAGCTGGAGAGCTCTGCTAGCTAAACAAAGATTTAAAATTCAAGGACTGCTTTTTCAAGTCTCATTGTGAGTGGGAAGAATGGATACACTGTGAATCAGTAGAAAAATTTTCTCTCTACTTGATAGTATTAGACACTTAAAGAACTAGATTAATTAAAAATTTTAAAAACACCTTAAAGAAAAGATACAAAGTAAAATCAATAATTTCTCTGTTCCAACACAACTATGTTAGTTTTTGTATGTTTCTTTTCAGCCTTTATCCATGTACATAGGTATTTTCATGCAGTTCTATAACAATAGTGTTGCATTTTGCTCTAATACTAAGGGGAAAGTGACATATTCATACATAATTATTTCAATAGCTACATAATAATTCTTCAGATATACGATGTTATTTCTCTATTATTTTAGTTAGATTACTTTTTTCTATCAAGGATGTGGCAAAATACAGCTTTTTTCTTTCTTTGATATAATTGCTTTCGGTATGAAGGCCAGGATGGTGTCTCTCTTGTTTACTGCCATGTCCTAAGCACCTAGCAAAGTATATGGTAGGCACCCAATAAACATCTATTGAATGGATGCACTGTGTGAATGAATAATGGGATTTACACACATAGGCTTCCTAGTTCCACCTGCTTCAAAAGCTTTTAAAATTAGCACAATTGAAATAGATTCAAAAGCTGTATCATTTGAAAGAAAAACTCATTTGCATCATACCTTAAATGTATCACCTGTAGCCAAAGGAATTTGTTATTCACCTTAAAATTTCTGAATTACTTACAAAGTTGACCCACAGAATAGACAAAAGAAGGAATTCCAAGGTTTTTATTCATGAGCTGCTTGCACAAACATCACTAGATGAACACCATCTCTTACTCCCAGTCCTTATTCCCTTCTCTGCAACACTTGGCACTTATGGCTACTTCTTTCTTTTCTCAAATCAGTCTATGTGACAGTGAATTTATACAACTTTCTTGCTATTTCTCTGACCTCTCTTTTGCCCTCGCTAGTGGTCATTCTCTAAAGATTTCTTTTGTCCCCTGCTCATCTCCTTTTGCAACCTCTGTCAATAGTCACTGGCTTCTAATCTTGTCTTCAGTCGCTCCTCTTTGTGAACCATGCCCAGATCTGTGTGTCTAATCCTGATTACGGCATCTGTGCTTTTTCAGTCTCATCCACCTCCATTTCCTTAAGACTTTTTTGCTTGTATTTTCCATCTTCGCCTCTTTTCCTTTGAACTACATGTGTCTCCTAGCCTTTGCAAGTCTTCCTTGGCTCTGCTTCTTCCTCAAGCCGCCATCCCTTTGCCACTTTCCCTTCACCGCCAAACTTTTGAGAGGTGTACTGGGCCCTTTGGCTCCAGTTCTTCCCCTCACTCCTCTCATGTTTGCATGTTGACTTCTGCTTTCTCCTACAGACCTTCTGCACTTCAGTGACTGTTCGATCCCCTTCCCGCAGCGCCTGTCTGTGGCATCTCACACGACTTCAGCTCTCCCTTCGTGGCTTCCTTTGCACTATGCTTTCTTGGTTTCTATCTAGTGTCCCCTGACATCCTGTCTTCTTTTTGCTTTTTGTCTTCAGACTTCTTTTTAACTCTGTTATCTTTAAAGGTCCCCATTCACTTCCAGAGTTAACAGATATTTACTGAGTGTCTAACATGTGCCAGGAACTGTGCGGTCCCCAGGGATGCAGGAATGAACAAATGAGACACTCACTGGATTTCCCCTTCCTCACTTGCAGATGCAGTTAGAAGCAAAATCCTAAAAATTCTGTTTCCAAATGACTGATTAGTTCCTTCTACCTTATTATCACGAAACTCTTTGTTCAGGTCTCTGTCATTATTAAGTTGTTTTCATCGTAGCCTAATAATTAATAACCAGTGTCCTTGTCTCTATCCCAGTCCAGCCCACAGGCTATCCCAGACTAATCTTTTTAAACATTTATGTCATCTCCCTTCAAAAATGTTCACTGGCTCTTTCCACTGTCTACAGAAGAAATGCTGAACTACTTAAAAGGATGTTGGAAAGACCTGAGGCTTTAAAGTCAGAAACCTTGGGTTGAATTCCCAATCTATCATTTACTCACTCTGTGATCTTAAATAACCTTGCTGTATATTGATTTTCCCATCTCCAAGGTGGGATTAATGACTAGTAATAAAGACCAAAAAGATGTGAAAGTGCTTTATTTTTAAAGTGTTAAAATTAATATCTCTTTTTTTATTTAGGTAGTTACTATATTGAAATTAGCCTAAGATTTAGAGTTAACAACAAAAAAACAAACCTGGTTTCAAATTCAGCTCTATATTATCTGTGAGACTTTGAACAAATTCGTACATCTCTCTAAAACTGTTTTCCCATCAAAACACCCATTTTGTATGGCTATCTGAAAATTAAATGGAATAGTGAATATGAAAACTTCTAGCACAGTGTGTAGCTTGTAATAGGCACTGACTGGTTACCTTTTGGGCCTAATTTACTTTTCCTGCAGCATACCCACTACACCTCTTTACAAATCCTATAAGCCACTCCAGGCTATTTGATTTTCTCAATTCCTATGATGCACTTTTGTGTTTCTTCTTCGGCTGCATACTCTTCCTTCTCTATCAAAATTCAACTCAATCTTTAAGGCTCAGTTGAAATGTGGAGTCTTCGCTTAGTCCCTGTGTGTCTCACAGCTGATGTGTTACTTGCTCTTTCCTTCATACACTTTTGTATGTTTATCGCAGTATTTTTTTCAATCTGGCTTATATTCTGATTCTTCCAACAGATTGTAGGGGCCTTGAAAACAAGAAGGACGTTGTAGTCACCTTCGTTTCTCTTACATTGTACTTGGACAGCAGACACTCAGTTACTGAGGGAGCATAGATTCAGATGCTGGCTTTCCCTTTCTACTGCCTGTAGGACATCACTTCCCTAAAGGCCTACTATTGCTTCAAACCCAAACACGTGCAAAAGCACGCACATCTTCTCCAAGCCGCTCCCTTTCAATTCTGCCATTACCCTATTCCCTAATCCCAGTTTCTGAGGTCAAAATTTAGAATTGTATTTGACTAATCTGCCTCCTTGAACATCTAGGAACCAAACTATCAGGTATTTCCAACTCTCTGTGAAATAGTTCTTGGATTTACCTTTCTTTTCACTCCCATTATTCCATTTCTAGGAGTAATAATTATCAGCGTAATGGTGATTATTTGTAACAACTATCACCATTTATTGAGCATTTAGGTTCTGGGCTAAATACTTTATATGCATTATGTCATTTGATCCTTAACACATCTGTAAAGCAAGTACTCTTATGTTACAGATGGGAAAAATCAAGACACTGCTTATGTACTTTGCCCAAGGTTACGGTTAAGTGGCAGAGTGGGGCTCAAACCCAGATCCGAAGCCAAAGCCCTTGAATGAGTTGGACTCTTTCGCGTTGTGTAGAACAAAATAGGATTTTCAGAGGAATATTATGAAGATATTTAGGAAGTAAGCAAGCACGGCAAACTGTTCCATGGAAAACTACTGTCTCTTCAAAAGCAGAATATGCCAACACTCTAGCAATTGTTTTGGGGGCTCTCTGATGTGAGCACCTGAGACCCTGAAGCTCCTCTCCTTGCTTCTGTTGCCCTTAGTGCAGCTGAGTGACTTCTCTCTCTCCTCCTTTTTTTTTTAAGCAGACTTGGCCATTCCTTTATTGGAAGGGGTATGCTTTGTTGAACTCTACAAGCTTGTGAGCCCAAAGAGATTTCAAGTTGAAGATCCAGTTGGTTTTTCTTTGAGGTCGTAATGGCCCTGAATAAAGCCACAGGTATGGCAACTATGCCAGCACCTACAGACCTGGAAGATGTGGCCAGCGCGGAGCAAATGGCAATAACAGAGGCGGACGCACCGCACGCGGAACCAGGCCTGCAGTCCGACAGCTGCCCACTCTTAACAGATGCCCTCTACCTCTTGGCTTCTGCTGCTTCATGACTTCTGCTGCTCATACGTTTGGCTCTCTCACTTTCCTCTCACTACTGTACAACACAACTGCTTTACTTCAATTAAGGCAATCTCCTCACTGTCTTAAGAACAATTTCTGTCTCCACAACTTCATGTTGTCACTTTGAACACAAATACTTTCTTCTTTTCTCTCCACTTCAAAATATAGTCAAAAGCCTGTTATTTTAAGTCCCCTTCATTACTTCTTCCCAATGGCTCCAACGGATTTTTGAGTGACTACTATGTGTTAAGTCTTCTTGCTGACCCATGATGAACCCACAACATGAACAAAAAATAACCCTTTTTTGAGATTTAGGGATTGTTAGTTCTTGCCACCTGGTCTAGCCTGCCCTGCCTGCTGTGCTGGCTTCAGGGAAGTAATTTAGCTTTACTAAGCTTCAATTTCCTTATCTGTAAAATAGAGATTAAAACAGTATCTATCAAACAAGTTTGTTCTGGGGATTAAATGAGATAAAACAGGTAAAAGTACTTGGGTAAAAAAAGGTATTTAGCACAGTGCTAAGCACAAAACAAGTGTATAAATGTTAGTTACTAAAATTTTTTGAATTCTCACCCCTAGCAATTGGTGTGTTATTAATGACAAATGAGCTCAGCGGAGGGCATTGCTTGCTTTTTCAAATGTTAAGCTTCAAATTACAAATGTTATAAAATTATTGTCAGTAATTTTAGCATGAATGGATTAACACATCTAAAGATAACTACTATAGAGCTAATCTAACTCATCATAAGAAACAGCTCTATTATGTTTCTTTTTCATATCATGAGTTTTGGGATACCATGAAAAAATGTTTTAAATATATGCGTTCTCTCTAAAACTCTTAAAGCTTATTAAAGAGATGTTATCCTTGTTTTCAAAGTCTATCTATAACACGGACATATTGTTCTATAAATAACTATTTAAATTTGGGATCCAGTTTAAAATATTTCATGATGTATCACCCTGCTATTTATATTTAATTAAATTTTCTCGCAGCCACATTATGTATGATTTATTACTGGGTGAAGACTGCCCAGACCTGGTAAAGATGATAATCATAACACTGACATCTATGTAATAATTCATAATGTTATAAGTGCTTTTACAGACAGTCTCATTTGACTTTGAATCTTTTGAGTGATATATTTCCACTTCTAGTTGAAATAAAAGGAAGCTTGGAGAGTGTCCTGTCTAACAAAAAACTGGAACTGGAACCTAGGTTTCCTTACTACACATTTCATGCCTATGCTACCACAGAACCCTGTTGTACTAAACTATTATTGGAATAACGTGTGCTCTACTGATCTATGTATCTTAACCCTATAAATCTATGTAGCATAAATGTTATATGAAAAAGCAAAACTATCAGCATTATGTTTTTTCCTGAACAACAAGATTTGAGTCAGCGACAATGTGTTAATTTGGGGAACATTTTTTTTGCTAGCTAGCTTTTTCAGACTGACAAACTTGGTAAGGCCAAGATAAATTGAGACAATATACTCTTTAAATCAACAGTAAATTGACTTACAAAAAACACTTAATAAAAAGAGCCAACAGTTTCACATTCCCATTTTGAAAATAAAATTTCTTTGATTAAACAGTATTTTAAAATTTTCATTTTTCACTAAACTTAGTAATACTGAAGAACAAGGGTCTACATGTCAGAAATTAAAGAACCTGCAAGTGTACTGGAGAAAATGCTAAATGAAAATAAAATGTAATTAACTGAGGTCTCCTCAAGGTGCCACACCTAGTGTCTTAGGAAAACAAGGTATTAAGAAAAGCCAGCGTTGTCCAGCGTATGGAGAACAATGTATCTGATAAACTAAAGTGCGTAAACTCATTTAAATGGTACCTCGGTTACTTTTTAAAAACTGCAACACCCTGCATAGCCTCTTTTTCAAAATGACAGTGTGGCAAATTTAGTTTTCAAAAATAATGCAATTTTTGTTAAGAACTTAACACTCGTTTGCTTCTCTGGAGAGAAACAAAACTGAGAGTAGCTTAAGACACTTTAACCCACTTTTTTTTCCGTCTCAACAGAAGCCAACGTGCAATAAATACATCACGAAAAATGTCTTAAGTTGGAACCTAACTTGACTCACGGTACACTAAGCGTTTCCACTACGTTGGATCCTACTTCTAGTTTCCAGTTTAGCCACTAGTAGTGACTGGGACGGTAAGTCACTTCTCTGAATGTTTCATTTCCCATAAAACGAGAACGGGTGGCCCCAAAAAGAGCTCTGATGTGAGCAACGCCTGCCACACACCACCGAGAGCAATGGACGAGGCCGACCCACGCACACGGGTTCCGCTTTCCCCACATCGCACCCCCGGGCCCAGGCCTCGTTCCCCTTCCTTTCAATCCCAATTCGGGCTCCTTTCCTTAGCGAGTTCTTTTAACGAAACGCAGCGCTCCTTTGTCTCCGAACGCGGCTGGGAAGGGGTTTCGAGGCCGCAGCTGGCTGG